TATGCATGTTTCAGTACAATGGCATGATGAGATAGATGATGCACATGTTTATGAAATGAAATGCACTTTTGTGGGTGTCAAACACCTAGGGTGTTACAGTTGCTGTCGATATGGAGGGAAAGACATGGAGGAAAATTCTTAGGCCACCAGGTCCTGCAATGTCCATCCATGGAGATCAGGGTCAGTTGTGTCTATGTATTGCTGATATTTTCAATAGGTCTGACCTTTCAATCTTAATCCTTGAAGACTATGGTACTAGTAAATGGACATTGAAGCATACGGTGAACACGCTGCAGCTATTTGGACGGAACAATATTCGACTCGGTTCCAAGGCTGCCAATGCGAACTACAGAGTGATTGCAGTTCACCTAGAATGGAATTTGATTTTCCTTGTTGGGGTGGATAGAACACTGATGGCATATGACATGAGTCGCATAAAAGTCCATGTCCTCCCTGCCTAGGTCGTCCGCTATCCTAGAAGTACCATGAGTATTTATTTGAACGGGCCTCACTATCTGCCTTATGTTCCCTTGTTCATGGAGTCATTAGCAGAGCAGTGAAGGTGCATATGCTGTATTTTGTTGTTAGGATATGTCTTTGTTCAGGTAGGGAGTTATTTTGAGTCTATATATATAGTCCAATTTTGTTCAGAGCAGTAAAGCTTTGCATTGTGCAGGTTTTGGAGTGTTAGTGCTTTTGAACGATTTTCCGGCAATAATGGCTATGGGAGGAAGAAGAGGGTTCCATGCTGCATTGGCTGCCAAGCTGATCAAGGAGTGCCAATCTGAAGGAGCGGATCACATCTACCTCGTTTTAGTTACGTAAGTTGTAGGGATCAGAACCTTTATTATGCTATCTATGTACCGCTTGTGTTAATTCATCAGTTGACATAGTTGTTATGTTAGTGTCGAGCATTGTTATTATAACAAGTACTCTTCGTAGTGGACATGATGAATGATGTGTAATGATTAAATCTGTATGGTGTGTGTTCAGTAAGTTATTAAGGCCTAGCTGGATTAGTAAATACATTGTGAAAACGGGATGCCATCACCGCCACTATTCGTCTGATGCGGCAGGGTCAATAGTGTATCACCGCCGAATCATTTAGTAACCTGACACCGACTAAAGGATCATCACGGGCGGATCATACTGCAACGCGACGTTGACAATGCCCTATGACCAAATGGTTCATACGCTGAAGCGACGGTAATGTTTGCCTCGACACAGACGGGTTGCGCTCCAATGCGATGGAATAAGGACCTGATCACGGAGGGATTATAAGTCATGTGGCGGTGTTAGTGCATACCCACACAGTCGGGTCATGCTCCAATGCAATGGAAGTAAGGACCTTAGCACGGACGGATCAGAAGCCAATGCAGCGGTGCTAGTGTACACCGCAGATGGTCTCAGATAGCGACGGTGAGGGCTTTGATCATCACTGCCGATAGCTTATTGCCGAGGCCGAAATTGGACTACGATGGGGGTTAAGATGTGGCTATGAAAGGTCCGAGTGTAGTAGTGTGATGGCATATGACATGAGCCGTAGAAAAGTTCATGTCCTCCCTGCCCGGGTCATCCATTATCCTAGAAGTACCTGGAGTATTTATTTGAATGGACCTCACTATCTGCCTTATGTTCCCTTGTTCATGGAGTCATTAGCAAAGTAGTAAAGGTGCATATGCTATATTTTGTTGTTAGGACATGTCTTTGTTCAGGTAGGGAGATGTTTTGAGTCTATATATATATATATAGTCCAATTTTGTTCAGAGCAGTAAAGCTTTGCATTGTGTAGGTTTTGGAGTGTCAGTGCTTTTGAACGATTTTCCTGCAATGGCTATTGGAGGAAGAAGAGGGGTTCCATGGTGCATTGGCTGCCAAGCTGATCAAGGAGTGCCAATCTGAAGAAGCGGAGCATATCTACCTCGTCTTAGTTACGTAAGTCTGTAGGGAGCAGAACATTTATTGTGTTATCTATGTACCGCTTGTGTTAATTCATCAGTTGACATAGTTGTTATATTAGTGTTGAGCATTGTTATTATAACAAGTACTCTTCGTGTGGACAAGATGAATGATGTGTAATGGTTATATTTGTATGGTGTGTGTTCAATAAGTTATTAAGGTCCAGCTGAATTAGTAAATACATTGTGAAAACCGGATGCAATTCTGTCACTGTCGGATGTATGGGCCATTGGTTGTTTTTTTTATCACCGTCGTATCACTCGCCGTTGGTGAAGATGTATGTGCCGTTGGTTGTTTTTTTATCACCACCGTATCACTCGCCGTTGGTGAAGCAGACGGACATCACCACCGTTATTTGTCTAATACGGCAGGGGTCAATAGTGTATCACTGTCGCATCATTTAGTAACCCGATACCGATTAAAGGATCATTATGGGCGGATCGTACTGCAACGCGACGGTGATCATGCCCTATGACCAGACGGTTCATACGCTGAAGCGACGGTGATGTTCGCCTTGACATAGGCGGGTCGTGCTCCAATGCGACGGAATAAGGATATGATCACGGACGGATCATAACCCATGTGGCGGTGTTAGTGCATACCCACACAGGCGGGTTGCGCTCCAATGCGACGGAAGTAAGGACCTTATCACGGATGCATGATAAGCCAATACGGTAGTGTAGTGTGCACCCCAGTCGGTCTTAGATACCGACGGTGATGGCTATGACTATCACTGCCGACAGCTTACTACTGAGGCCGAAAGTAGACTGCGATGGGGGTTACGACGGGGCTGTGAAAGGTCCGAGTGTAGTAGTGGCAGACCATTTGGCAAATCAGCACCTCGTAGATCATTCAAAATATCCTGCAATTTCAAAATTTCATCAAAAGCATGCTATGACATTAGGAGTCTGAAAAGATCTAGTTCAGCAGCAGCAGTAGCCACTCTAAGTGACAAGTTCACATTCTTAGCATAATGAAAAGATGAGGAAATTGTGTTGTTAGGGGCTCATCCAGGATAACAACCGATCCGAGATACTTGAATCCCTAATGCACGGGAACATTTGGCGATGCCACTGAAGGCCATAGAAAGACTCTGAATATCCCTCCACTAGAACGAACACATGGATATTCACCAAGAATAATGACACTATAGGGCCAAGTGCAAGTTGGGTGCTCAGAATGTAGTGTGTATAGGTCTTTGTTTTATCTTTGGTCGCACTATAAGGAGGTCCAAAACTAGTAGCTCAACAGGAATTAAGTTGAGAGCATTCAGAGGCAAACATATACTCCCACTAAGTCAACGCAAAAGTGGTCTCACTGGATTGGTTTTAAGCTAAAGATCTCAAATAAGTTGAATTGGATGAGATTAGACTTAAAATGAGAAAAAAATATACACTGGATGATGATTTGGACCTTCTTAGTGTACCATCCAGTGGCATTGTGTGTAGTTCAGTTTTGAACTTGCTCACCGTATGATTAAGTGCACTATTGGTATTTGTTGATGCAAACAGAAAGATCCATAAGTGCACAAATACCAATGTAACTTTCACTCAAGAATATTTCAACGTATCTACTTCCATGAGAAATGAGAAGTGTACTAATAAAGGATGACTTTCTTCCAAGGGTAAAGGATATAGTTCATCCGAGGGTAAAGACATATTTCTCTCCTTAATTGATGAGTCTGAAAGGCAACACTACTGTTAGGATCTAGGAGCCGACTAGAGGGGGTGAATAATCGTTTCTAAAACTTAATCGTATCGGGTAACCAAAACAAATGTGAAATTAAACTAATCGGTCTAACCTCAACTAAAACTCTCTACCTACGTTCACAAGCACCTTAAAAGGATTATAATTAAAGCAACTAAGGTGCCAAGCTAGAGATAGCTCACCTAAACAAGTCTAGATAGCAAGGTCACACAAATATATACAAATAGTCAACTAAGCACACCAGGAGCTCCTACACATACTAGTCAGCAAAGCACACAAAGCCTAAGCACCATTAGCACAACTCAACTAGCAAATCTACTCAAGCTAAACTAGAGAGCTATCACTACTTAGCTACACGAACTAAGCAAGGCAACTTAGCTACACAAGCTAAGAGAGCAAGTAGTAAACTACACAAGCCAACTAGCTACACAAGTGCAACAACACAAGCACAAGTATGAACAAGTAAGGTAAGCTTGTGTTAGGGAATTGCAAACCAATAGAAAGATGATCACTCACTCACAATCAAATGCACACTTCATAAGTGAGTTCAAGGGCACTAGTGCCACACCTTGCAATATCTCAATGCAACGCACTAGTGATCACTCACTCACAATCGAATGCACACTACATAAATGAGTTAAGGGCTATCAAGCACTCTCACACATGGACAATAAGTCCTCAAGGTGCTGAACCAGCTCCCATGGCCATCCACCCTCTATTTGTAGAGGGGAGGGCCAAATATAACCATTGGGGTCTTTGCCCCACGCTCTGCGTGTCCTGACGGTCCCACTACCAGGGCACCAATGGTCGGTGCGCGCCTCCAATGGTCACCTGCCTCGACGACCCCACTAGTCAGCGCCACAACCTAGCGATCCGATCGGGCTTCACCTCGGTCCAACCGTGCAATGCAACCAGCACACAAACAGGCCTCCTGTCCGGCGCGGCCATCCAATGCGTCATGTGGGCTTTAAACCCAACACGCTCAAAAACAACCTCTCTGGTAGAATATCGCAGTTAAATTTGGAATTGCTTAACATAGAAATAACTCTAGAAGTTAATTTATTTTGAGACAGGAGTATCATAAGTATTAGTATTTTTTTATAAATTTGGTTAAATTTGAAATAGTTTGACTTAACATAAGTCTAGAAGTTAATTTATTTGATTTTGAGACGGGAGTGAGTATTGTGAAAGCGTACCGATAGTCAAGCATGCATCTATTTGATGCGTACAAGAGAGCAGATCAACAAATCAAACCGTTCCCTAATTAATTACCCTAAACCCCTAGCTAATTACTAGTAGTAATTTCTTACTATACTCCTTGGGCGCTGAAGACTCTATGAGCTCCCGCAGGCGCCAACGGTATTCCCAATCTTCCTCGGCCTCCCGCCGCACCACCGCCGTGCCGCGCCGCCGCCTCTCATGGTATCGCGACCAGGTCCCTCGTCCCGTGGCCTCTTCTCCCCTGCCGCCGGCGCCGCCAGATGCTTCCTTCCCCGGACCGCCTGGACGACCCTGAGCAGCAGCATTATGCCCTCCACGTTGAGGTTCCACCACCCGAGTCCACCGCTGCCACCGGATCCACGGCGGGCGTCGCGGCGCGGCGCGGCCCGGTTCGTCTCGATGGCGTCGAGGAGGTCTGACACGACCGATTTGCTTGGCAGCGCTGCCGTGGAGGGCCGCGAGCTGGTGCCGGCATTGGCGGCGCCGCCGCCGGTGGTGATGGTCAGGTGCCGGCCGGGCTGGAGCACGCCGGCTAGCAGGGATCGGGTAAGCAGCTTGACGACCGCTGACGTGCGGACGGCGCGCTCCATCTGCCTGGCGCGGTCGGACGGCGCGTCGGCGGCGGCCTGTCCCGTGGGCGAGGTGTGCCTCTTGAGGCGCTGTATCCTGGCGTGGGCACGGACCCATGGGTTCGTGTTCAGCTCACCAGCAGGTTCGTCTCCACCTGGAATGAAACATCGTCGAGCACAGCTAAATTTGTCAGATGCATTGATGGCGTAATTCCAAGGTACTAACGATCGTGCCGTGGGCTTGAACCTTCAATTCGTACCATCGGCGGCGGCAAGGTCGTGGTACGCGCAGAACCGCGAGAAGATTTCAGCCATGGTGGCGCACTTCCGCTCCGCCGCGCCACCCGCGGCGTCGGGCGGCACGACGACGGCGTAGAAGAAGCCGGGGAGCTCGAAGACGAAGGCGCGCGAGTCGATCCGTGCCACGAGGCGTCGCGCGCCAGCATCCACTGGTGGTCGCCGACGGTGCAGGTGGCCATGGACACCGGAGGCCCTCCACGCGCGCCATGTGCAGCGACAGGGCCCCCGACCGGAACAGGTGCGCGGCCTCGAAGCGGTCGCCGCACAGCACGAAGAGGCTCACCGCCGGGCCGCCCGACGCGCCGGCGCCGATGGACAGCAGCTCCGTCTCCATGCCCGTCCGGTACTCCCGCGTCCGGCCCACCCGCAGCGCCGGCTGGCCCGCCGCCGCACCTGCTCCTCCCTCCCGAGACGCCATCCGCACCCGGTTGGCAATGCTGCTCGATAGAAACACAGGTTAGAACACCACCGCACGTTGCCGTTGTTTCACGACGAGCAAGTGATGCGCTAGCTGGGATGCATGCGTGGAAGAAACATGCACGCACGACCGCCGGCTGTGCACGACGTGTGCATGCTGCTGCACTTCCCAAGATACGAGTTCGACTATATATTTAGCTAGCGTCTGGCGAGCGAGTATACAGATTTTTTTTTCCAGATATTTTGCATGATCATGCCCTGGACCCTTGTACACGTTAATAGTATAAAGGCCATTGTTATACTACTGGTTAGTGCTTACCCACGATCGAGAGGGTTTTTCCTTGAAGGTAAGGTAACACGGAGCACGTCGATCCTCGCTGAGATCTTGACGCGATGTAGAAGAAAGCTAGCTTCAGGTCTTCAGGTATTGCTGGCTGCAAAGGCACAAGAAAGAGAGGGAGAAGGGGGGAAGGGGAGAGAGACACAGGTATCAGAGGAGAAGGAATACCAGAGATCGCTGGGTTGTAGCACGGTCCTGGCCACTCTTAAATAAGACTGACCTGCAGGTGACGCGCGCGCTCTGGCCTGGGTCGCCTTGGCATGCAACGCGAAGGCCAAGGGCGGGAACGAGTCTGCAAGTGCCGGGCTGCGCGTGCGTACGTGGGAGGCGCGGCCATGCAGGAATGCATGCACGCGCCACGCACGCCGCGGGGGACACCTCGCACGCGCCCAGCGCCCGTGTCCCTCGCCGCGGCGCCACATCGTCTGGGGCCCGGGCCCGCACCGCAACACGTGGCCCCCACGGCGCGACGTGGCGGCAGCCCCGGCCACGCGCCCGCCTGCGCTGGCCCCCCGGCGTGCCGCGTTGCGCGCTCGCCCGTGCGACCGGGCCGCCGCTGGCGCTCCGGCCTCCCGCCTCCCGCGGCCTGCGCTCAAGCGCCATCGAGTTCGCATGCCCCCGCCCGCCCTTCGCAGCTTTTGCCAACTTGTTGCACAGGCGGCGAGACGAGACCCAACACTTTTACGCGCCAAATCGTCCTTGACACATTTCAGCTTCTATAGGCTATAGAGTTGGAGAGAAATTTTACGGCGGATCCGTGGATCGTCAGGGAAAAAACATCTCGATCGTCCATGGCTTGGGAGACGAATAGACGATGTGTACCGTGTACGTAGTACGTGAATGCATGCATGTGAGTATGTGATCCAGTGGTTTCCAAATTCTGAGCAACCGGCAACAGCTACTCTCGTCGCCTAATTCTCGTGATGTCGTTTTCATCACCTGGATATATCGGATTTTTAGTTGATAGTGTGACGGCTTAGGTAGGAGTAGGACTAGCAGGTACCTACCTATATGATGCAAAGTTTGCACAGTCGCACTATGCTTGTCAAGAGAACAACTAATAAACACGTCTCGCTAAACAACAAGCGCTGCACTAACTCACTAGAAACTCTCTAATGCTCTCTAAACGTCCAATGAGGTTCTCATACCATCCCTGGAAAGAGGGTAAAGGTTCTAAGATTTTGCAGAGATAACTTGGGGCTAGCGGACCATCAGTATAATCGTGTGGACTGTCTGCGTGGTCATGCTGCAAAATCTCTGGTGCTCAAGTCTGGGCTATGTTGACCAGCCATGTGATCTTGTGAACTGTCCATGTGAGTGTGACACGGACTTAACTAATTGTCTTTGGAGTGGCAAGGTTGTGAGAACGGACCATTCAGCTTGCCACCAAATTTTCCCTGGTAGCTTGCAGTGTGTGCTAGGTTCTGCTGAGCCATGCATTCATGAACTGTCGAAGTGAACCGCTGGACCATCTGTGCAGTTTGTGCAAAGGTGCTTAAGTCTTTGTCAGCTACTTTACCTTGGTAGATTTTCTATGTGTACTAGCTGACTATCCATCAGTGCATAATGAAAGCCCGAGGTTTAGTCCTGAGTTTGCGAGAATGGATCAAGACAAAGCTTTGTGCAAGATCTTGTTCTAAGGAGTTCCTAGAGACTTCTGGGACTCGTCTAGGAAGGTACATTGGTGGGATTGTGCGGATGAAGCTCTAGGTCATCAATGGCTATCCTACCATGTGTTTGGGGTTTCATGGGGTGATTCTATGGATGGGGCTGCTAGAGCTAGGCAAGAACTTACCAAGCTCGAGCAAGATCTTAACTTAGGGAGCTTGATTAGTGTAGAGGTTGGGCTCGGCTCCTTCTTCGACCTCCCCGTCAATGTCAAGGACCCCTCCCTAGCAATGGGCCAGGTGATGAGGTAAGGTGGTGGTGCATCTTGGGATCCCCTACGAACCCCGCCAGGCCTCCTTCTCCTCCTTCTCCCTTCCCCTGTCTTCCTCATTGGTTCTTGGTTTTCTTTCTTGGAGAGAGAGAGAGCGCGCGCGCTAGGGGTGTGCTATTGATATGTATGGTATGGAACTGTCTATTAGTGCACAACTCTGATTGCTTCCACTGACGGTTGAGCTTGGATGACCATTAGAGCAGAAGATAAATACTTAACATCTACCTTTTGCACAAAAAAAAATTATGTTAATGCATATCATAATCAATAATCATGCTTAGCAAGAAATCCACACTGGGTCGTTATAAATTTGTATTGTTGAATTAAAAATGTTTTATTTTATAAATATTTTAAATCAAAAAATAGGAAACTGTTAAGTTCTTTATGTACCTTTCTGTAACCGTAGATCTAGGGTAAGCCTCCTCGCCCTTGCGTAGTTTCGCCGCAGCAGTGCAGACGCCAGTACCATGGCGTTGTAGGCGTCGTGGTGGCTATGCAGGCGAGGTCCAGTGGCGACGGCGGAGTCTGTGGGCTTCCCGTCGCTGGCAGCACTCCTTTGATCGGATTAGGTTTACTGTGGTGGATTACGGCGGCTCAGACCAACTTCATAGTTAGAGTCGTGATCCTCACCTCTCTTTTATATGTGCTGTGCGACAAAGGGCCATCAACCATATTAGGGTTGGGCGCCTTCGATCAGGACGCAGAGACAAGGGCCCAATAGGCCGTTGGGCCTATTGGTGGAGATCAACTAACATTCTCCCCCTTGATCTCATTACTATCTTTCAATTTCATATCATTTACTTTTGTTCATTCCATTACAGATTAGCGCATAGAGCATGTCTCATCGTTACGGTCCATTGCCGATAGATTTAACAGCTACAACACACTTCTCTGTTCTGAAATAGATACTTATCTTTGTGTCTTCTTTTGTGCAGAAATTTTAGGCTTTCCCTTAAACCCATGCTAGCTACACATTGGGTGGTAAGCCTTTTGTAAGCGGATCCACGAGCATCTTTTCTGTACTTATATGCTCAAGACTTTATGACATGATCCCTGACTTTATCTTTCATAACAATATACTTTATGTCAATGTGTTTGGCAGCATCACTTGACTTATTGTTGTGAGCATACTGTACTACCTGATTATTATCGCAGTATAACTTAAATGGTCTATAGATGTCGTCAACCACCTTCAAACCGGGTATGAACTTCTTTAGCCAGTTCACCTGCCCCGTTGCCTCATAACACGCTACAAACTCAGCATACATTGTAGACGATGTAGTGACGGTTTGCTTTGAGCTTTTCCATGAAATAGCTCCTCCTGCGAGAGTGAATACATATCCAGACGTGGATTTTCTATCATCTCCCGAATAATCAGAATCTAAATATCCCACTATATGGAGTGAATCAGATCTTCTATACGTCATCATGAGGTCTTTCGTTTCTTGCAAATAACGCAAGACTTTCTGTACTAATTTCTAATGCTCTGTTCTAGGATTGCTCTGGAATCTGCCAAGTAACCCGGTAACAAATGTCAAGTCAGGGCGCGTACATACTTGAGCATATTGCAAGCTTCCGACAACTGAAGCATATGGAACCACTTTCATTTCGTCGATCTCATATTGGTTCCTGAGGCAATTAAAAATCCCCATATCTATCGCCCTTGACTATAGGAGCAGGTGAGGGACTACATTTGTGCATACAGAATTTCTTTAAGATCTTTTCTATGTGTGCCTTTTGTGACAGTCCTTATACCCCTTTACTTCCATCTCGGTGACTCTCGATCCCTAGAACGAACGAAGGTTCACCAAGATCTTTCATATCAAATTTTGAAGACAAAAACTTATTTATCTCCAGCAGTAGACTGACATCACTACTAGCAAGTAAGATATCATCCACATACAGGATAGAGAAGATAAACTTTCCATTCTTAAACTTTGCATAGACATAATTGTCCTCAACATTTTCTTTAAAACCCAAAATTCTTTATTGTCTGATCAAACTTCAAGTACCACTATCTTGAAACTTGTTTTAATCCATAAATGGCTTTGTTTAGGCGGCATCCCATTCGTTCTTTTCCTTCCATGACAAAACCTTTCGGTTGTGCCATGTAAACATTTTCCTCCAAGTCCCCGTTGAGAAATGCCGTCTTTACATCCATCTGATGTAATTCTAAATCGTAATGTGCCACTAATGCCATTATGATTATAAAGGAATCCATACATGAGACTGAAGAAAAGGTCTCATTGTAATCAATCCCTTCTCTTTGCGTAAAGTCTTTTACCACAAGTCTCGCTTTATATCTCTCTATATTCCCTTGAGAGTCAAGTTTTGTTTTGTAGACCCATTTACAGCCTACTGCTTTGGCTCCTTTAGGAATTATTTCCAAGTCCCAAACTTTATTGGCATTCATAGATTTCATTTCATCTTCCATGGCCTCAAGCCACTTTGATGAATGATCATTTTTCATGGCTTATTCAAATGAGGTGGGATCATCCTCCATTTGAAATTCCTGAGTGTTGTATACTTTATTGTCAACAAAAATAGTTGATTTCTAACTCTTTGAGACCTTTTAGGGACCTCCATATTTGGCGCATCTTCTGTTTGAGGCTGTTGTTGCTCCCCCTCATGTGTGGCAATAGGTTCTAGAGGATCCTGAAGAACAGGTTTCTTATGGTCATTCATTGTTGCCACAGGCGGAATAACAACAGGTGCTGACACC